GGGGTTTAGTATCTGAGAGCTCTGCTCGGTGCATCCTGAAATCTCAAAATCGCAGCGAAGGGCATTCCTTAAGATGCAGGAGTTCTCCGTTGCTTTGTACCCTTGCACTAAGGCAAAATACCCTCAATCTCTTCTTAGATATTATGCTTAAATACATAAAGGAATGTAAAGGATTGCAAGAGAACTCAATCTTACTAAAATTCAGTTAGCAAAATATCAAATTTGTGATAAAGTTTTATATATATATATATGTATATATATAAATATATATATACATATATATATGTGTGTGCTTTTTAGTTAATATGCAAAACAAGGTGACCTAGGGGCAGGGCTATAACTGGTCGTTTCAAAGAGATTATGACCGTGAATGACTGAAGATATTTTCTTGTAATGCGCTGTGAAAACAACCACAGTTTCTGTTGGCAACCACAGTTTCTGTTGGCGACCACATTGATTTGTTGCTTCAATTCATAATTGAAGGAAATACTAAATTTTTCTGAGAAATAAAGACTATTTTTTTTCTATGCACTGGTTTTGAACGTCTGGTAGAAAATGGATGTTTTTTCCTCTGGTCTCTGGCCTGTTTTATGAGACAGTTTCCTCTTTGCATCATGCAGTGTCCTTGTACACCTTCTCTCAGAGAACTTGTGTCCAGAACCTTCTAACCAGTGACTAGGAAACCAAGGTTCTTACTTGGATCTATTGCACTGAGCTTTGTAACAGCAAAGAGTCATCTCATTAACTTTTCTTTATAAAGGATGTGGGAAATTCTGAGCTGCATATGAGAAAGTAACTTGAAAACCGTAATTAAACTATAAATGTCTGGAAGGAAACCTGCATTTAGTGAGGATATACTGTATGTCGAGTCCTGTGTTGGGTGATTTCCCATACTATAATCTTATTTACTTCTCCTCCAAATCCCGTAAGTTAGAAATTATATTCATTTTTCAGATAAGGAAAGATACTAGATCTTTGAGAATTCAGCATGAGTTTCCAAAGGAGGTCATAAAAGCACAAAAGTGTATCATGAGGAAGCGTGAACTCTGTAGTCATTCTGCCTGGGCTTGCATTTTAATATTGCTACTTAGAACTGGGTGACTTGGGCAAACTGGGCCTCGGTTTCCCAGTTATAAAATTCCAGATAATGTCAGCTTACATGGGTGATCTAGACTTAATGCCTGGAAAATAAAAAGTAGTCACACATAGAAAGTATGATGGAAGTGTTTGACAAATAAATAAAAGTAAATGAATTGCTTTTAGGTTCCAACTGGAGATCGGGGTCCAGAACTGCTCTTTTGTAAGGTAGCATTGTTGACACCAGCTCAGGGGTCACACAGTAGCCAATTCCAGCCAATGAAGGCTCCGCTGAAGCATGAATCTGTGGGATCCCAGGCCTTAGAAGAAAAAGGTGAGTTTTATCTTCTAGTCTGTTTGAATTCTTTGTGTGTGTGTGTGTGTGTGTGTGTGTGTGCATTAAACCCAGGGCCTCACACATGTTAGGCAAGCACTCTGAGTTACAGCTCCAGCCTTGGGCTATATGAATTCTAAAGACCTCATCCAATTTCATTCAAGGGCCACCTCAAAGATAGATCCATTAACAGTTACTTGATATGCCCATCACTGATCCTCTCAAAGACTGAAACCAAAAGGGGAAGTTCAAACAATAGTAGAAAGCTTTCCTAACCAAACCTGGATATAGTAAATAAGACTTCATTAAAATTGGTGTCTGGAAAGTATTTATTTATTGAGACAGGGCTTCACTATATATAGCACAGACTGGCTTAATTCTCTTGTCTTAGCCTTCTGATTATAGGCATATGCCACTATGCTCAGCAAGAATTTTTTAATAACATGGTAGTGTCCATTTGTGCAATATATATTTGTGGAAGCCTCCCTATGGTAGCCAGTGCTGTTAACACTGAGAATAGAGCCATCAGTAGGATTGAATTCTTGCTCTGGTGGAGCTTATATTCTAGTAGGGAAGATAACAAATACATCAATACAATTTTAGGTATTCAAAAGTGCTGTGGAAGAAAACAGAATTTGGAAAGCCAGCCAGAATATCTAGAAGGACTGCTGCAAATTAAAAAGTATAAATCTCCTCAACCCTGTACAGTCTGTAACTAAAACAGGGTGAAAATCATTTACTATGAAGCTACTCTATGTTCCAGGGTGTTCTTTGCTGTGGACATTTGGGCAGGTTCTCAGGATGTACAACACTTAGACTTGCTATCCACATACAATCTCTATTTCTCACAGAAGTTTTGGCCTAAACCAAGTCTTTTTCTGCTCCTTCCAAAGTGCCCTTCTTATAGAGCAAGCTGAGGTTCCTTCTAGTTCTAAAAAAGTTCTAGTCTTGAGCAAGTTCTAGAAAAGCAGACTCCCATGTTCCTTATCTGACAGTTAGCTTTATCTCATTCCTCTTAGTTTTTCAGAACCAAAGAAAGTACCCTAATAGCTATGAAGACATTTTAGCCAACAACAAAAAACCTTGTCCATCCCCATCTCCCACAAAAAGTGAAAGGCTTTGTTTTGTTTTTATGTCGTATTCACTTGCCAGTCTTACCTAGAATTCTTCCCATGGTATTTGTATCTGTTTTTGTATCCGTAGGAGCATACCAGATCTTCTTAGGCCCTAGGATTGGAGTTGGTAAGGATCCTGTACTTTGGAAAGGAATACATTCTGTATAAACATCTCAGCAAGAATTTACTAACTTAATTTTTTATCTTGATTCTACAAGACAGGGAGACTGACTGCCAAGGTAGATCTCTTCCAGAGCTTCTTTCTTTCTTAGTTCTCCAGGTTCCTGGGCTTCCTCAGGGAGGCAGTTGCAATGAAGATGCCATGGTAGCTGTCAGGTCAACTCCACAGTCCCAGGTGAGCTGGAGCTTCTCTCCCTCCCCAACACATAGCACCCTTCATTGGTGTTGTGTTGCTTGTTAGCAGCCAGTTTCCATTTTTCTTATTGTTGAATACCTTCATTTAGTGTTCACTGAAGAGGCTTTTCCTCTTTTCCTGCTATGTTGGAGAGGTTTCTGTGCTTCTCAAATCTTTCCTACCCCATCCCTTTGGTTAGCTCTCGCATTAATGGGATTTCTTCTTCAACAAGGGCAATTCAGGAAATGAAAATTGAGGATTTTGTTGTGATGGTGTTTGTGCAATGCTGGGGTTTGAATACAGGACTTTACACATGCTAGGCAAGTGCTCTACCACTCAGCTACAGCCCTAGCCCTGTTTTGTTTTGGAGAGGGATATAAAGGCCTGGCCTCTGCCCTCAAAGGCTTAAACTTGAAGAGGGTAAACACAGCATGTCCTTTTAGTCTAAAATTACTGATATGACAATAGGGATAAAGCCTACTTAACCTAGATTTTCATATCTTGCTTGATCTTTCTCTGTGGTATTCTTTACTTTTTCTTCTGAGTTATTTTCTTACCTGAGACCCAGAAGTTGTCTTTTAAAAGCCATTAATGTCAATGAGCCTTTGCCTTCACCTTCACTTTGCCAAAGCACACCACAACTCTTTTGAAGAGTTTGGATATGCTTCACTACTTTTGTTACATTGGCCACAATGCAGGTCTTCCAAGAATTTTCACTTTTTGGACTATTTAGATCGTCACATGAAAGTACTTAACTTAAGGTATGTAATATTTATTACCTTTGACAGTTTTTTTGTTTTGTTTTGTTGTTTCTGAAACTAGGTCTTGCCATGTATTCCCAGCTGATCTTGAGCTCCAGCTCCTCCTACCTTAGCTTCCCAAGTGCTGGATTAGAGGTGTGCATCCCAGCTGACATTTTTTGTTTTTTATAAAGATGTTATTGAGATAGGATTAAGTAGGTATAGGTGTGCCATTCTTGCTCTATTAAAGAGATCCTTTAAAGGATTTGTTCAGGGCTGGAGGCATGGCTCAAGTGGTAGAGTGCTTGCCTAGCAAGAGTAAAGCCCAGAGTTCAAACTCCAGTATCACAAAAAAATGGGGAAGGGATATGCTTATTCTTTGCACAGATCCACTTTAGGTTTGATTGTGAACACAGAAGAGGTAATAGGTTGTATTACTTACGTTTTAGAGGTTGCTGAAAATGGAAAATGTGGCCTTAACTCTGTCCCCTGGGTGGACACAGCAGGATTCGTCTCAGATGAAGCTCTACAGAGATGAAAGACAGGAGAAATGTGGCGGCTTGGCCTCGCTGGGTACGACTGACAGGCACTAATTTCTCAAAAAGTGTCTTTTTCCCTTTGTCTGTTGGAGGGCACTGGATTGTGAGAAGCTGTTTGAGTTTGTTTGGATTCAGAACCACCATTTCTGAGCCCCTGTTAATGACCAGCTGTGTAACTAGCTACTTAAACCTGATTCTTGCTTTATTTTCTACCCTGACAGTGTTCTGGTCAGCTACAATCACTGACCAGTGATCAATTTCTGAGTCCCTACTTTCTCTGTTTCTTCCAGAATGTTTCAGAAGTACTTTTACTTACTCTGTTTACAGTCTCCTGCTCAGCCCTTTTAGTATCTAATTCTAGGTATACCACCCTGCCACGCTCTTCGTAGAGCCCCCAACCCCAAACTATGTACTGTCAACACAGTCCTTGGTTCATATTGTCTTCCTTCCCTTCCCTCCCTTCCCAGGTGTACCCTTCTTCCAATGGCTCCATTCCCATTCTTAGGTTTCTTTTAGCCCCGTTTATTCCTATCCTCATTCCTGCACCTGAATCCTCATCCTTGGCCTACAGAGACCTCTGTAACTCTTACCTCCTTGCTGTACATCACAGAGCTTTTCTCCCATGTAGGGCATAGTTGACGGTCATTGGCCATGTGTTATTTCAGGTGATGAAATGCAGACTAAGACCAGGGACTTGACTCCAGCTGAGGAACTTCCAGAACAAGAGCTTGGGCAGATACCATGCCATCTGAGTGAAGACATTGCCCAGGTTCCTACATGTACAGAAGCTGGTGAACAGGAGGCCAGGTTACAGCGAAAGCAGAAAAGTGCCACAGGGAGTAGGCGACACTATTGCCATGAATGTGGAAAGAGTTTTGCTCAGAGTTCAGGCCTGACCAAGCACAGGAGAATCCACACTGGAGAGAAACCCTATGAGTGTGAAGACTGTGGGAAGACCTTCATTGGGAGCTCTGCCCTCGTCATTCATCAGAGAGTTCACACTGGTGAGAAGCCCTATGAGTGTGAAGACTGTGGCAAGGTCTTCAGTCACAGCTCAAACCTTATCAAACACCAGAGAACCCACACTGGGGAGAAGCCCTACGAGTGTGATGACTGTGGGAAAACTTTCAGCCAGAGCTGCAGCCTCCTTGAACATCACAAAATTCACACTGGGGAGAAGCCATACCAGTGCAACATCTGTGGCAAAGCCTTTAGGCGTAATTCCCATCTCCTGAGACATCAGAGGATCCATAGTGATAAAAATGTTCAGGAGCCTGAGCGTGGAGTGTCCTGGGAAGGTCAGGGTAGGATGGAAAGCCAGTGGGAGAACACTGAAACTCCCGTGTCTTATAAATGCAATGAGTGTGAGAGAAGTTTTACTCAGAATAGAAGCCTTATTGAACATCAAAAAATTCACACTGGTGAGAAACCCTACCAGTGTGACACATGTGGAAAAGGCTTTACCCGAACTTCATACCTTGCTCAACACCAGAGAAGCCACGTAGGGAAAAAAATTCTGTCACAATAATCTGCCCCAAATATGCCAGTGGGTGTTTATTTGTCATTTAACTATAGCCCTTACTGACTACAGAAGTTGTGGGCTGGGGCTTTAACAATACACATCAAAATTACCCTTTGGGTTGGGAATAGAAAGGTGTTAGACAATGTAGTCTGGCTGAGATGAATTATCTACTACATTCTAGAAGGTGATTGATTGGACCAAAACTTACTTGATAAGAGGCCATGAGAGTGTTGTCTGGGTGAGGTAGGACCTGGTGTGTTTGATTCTTACCCATTGGACTTAAATGTCCTTCCAGAATAGCTAATTGCTCTCAGCTAGCACTTTTTTCTCCTGGATGGATGACTTGATTTGGGGACTGCTGCTCTTACTATTCATTTTACTAACAATGACTCCTTTATGAGTTGGTAAGATACTTGAGGTCTTTTACCCCTCACTGTGCCTTGTACATAGGTGCTAATAAACATTTACTAAATGTACTAATGAAATGACCTTCACAGCTTTGAAAATCTGTGTTTAGATTTCTGAGAAATTTCTAATTAAGGCTACTTGTGTTTGATTCTAGTTCTCTATGGTTCTAGATTCTGGGTCCATCTAGTGTATTTATGCCAAGTGCATAGTGTTGCCAGAGTTGGGGTGGGGAAATCCATATTTCTTCATGAGGACAGTACATATAGTAAGAATGCCTTAAACAGCCTCTTAATCATTAAGACATTGGGAGACTGCTTATCTGATAGAATTCTATTAGTATACATTAAGTTTGCTACTCTTTAGGGGGAAATTTCTCACAGTTGGGTAAATAAAAATTAACTCATTATCAGATCAAAGTGATTATGAATTTTGATATAAATTATATAATGTTCAATATCTTGTTTCTTACTTTTTACATATCCCAGGCCTAACCAAGTTCTAGGATACAGTCTGTATGCCTCTCCCCAAGTGTAAAGGCAACTGTATCAAGGCTATGCCAAGCTAAGCTTAAACTTCCTTCAAGTCAGAAGATTCACACCAAATATTTATAATTATTATTCATGCCTTCAAGACTGCCTTTCAGGTTGGGAATAGTAAGAATGAGTTAGTGACAGCTGGTCTGACTAGAGACCCAAGTGTGTGGGATAGGAGAAAATGTATGTGTTCTGAAGCTCCTTAAGGAAAATGACTCCACAATATCAATGTATCAACATGTGAAATCAACCCTCAATACTGTGTGTTAATCATAAGAAATAAGACTTTTGTGATATCCCTCATTTTGCACCTAAACCACCCATATTCTTTGAAGCCTAATAACTTCTTTTCAAGTGCTTGAGTATATAACACCACCCTTTGGCTTTGCCAGACTGTGTCATGAGTGGATTCTGCTTTGATAAAACCCTTTACCATGTTTTCTTCAGTCACCAGCATAGTGTTTCTGTCTATTCTCATGCACCTTTCTGTATTCCTGCTCTGAATTACCACAGACTGACTAGGGGCTTTCAAAACCTAAGGGCTGTTCCCTATGACCTCTCATTGCATTTGTTATTCTCCCATTTCAGTTTAAAACTTTTTTAGCTTTCCAAAGTTCTGTTGACTTTCTTCATTGAATCTTTTAAATTTTTCTTTTAAACTAACCTGACTTTTTCTATCTCCACAGAGCTAGCCATTTCCTTTTCTGTCCTTTAATCTTCACTTTCTCTAAATATTTGCTATAATCCTAATCTTAAATGCTCAAACCTATTACAGACTAGCTACTCTGTTAATTTTTCTTTGGCATTTGTTTCTATTGTTATATGACGAGATGTATGTGAAAGCCTTTACACACAAGAAAGCATTATACAAGTGTAAGTTAGTGAGGTTAACAAAAGACCCCTGTGCTTCTTTTCACTCATGTTGCTCAGTTCTGCGCCTAAAATTCTCTGTAGAGGAGAGAAATATTGTAGAAAAGTATTTTTAGTGCCTGCTGCGCTAGACAGTGGAAGGGACAAAGCTTTTAACTACCTGTGTATATGTGTATGTGCGTGTGTGTGCGCGTGTGTGTGTAACGTGTGTGGCCATACACAAACCTACATACTTAGGCTTTTAGTAGAATAACGTTGATAAGATTTACTTCCGGTTGTGTGAACCATTATTTTCACATGGACAGAGTGACATGTTAGCTGAAAAGATCGCAGAAACTTTGCCAAATTCAGTAAATAAGGCAAGTCTGAAGAGATAGGTATGTCTGGGGGGTCTTTGGTTCCAGAGTGAGGAGTTTAAACTTTATTCAGTAAGCACTGGAAAGTTGCTGACATTTTATGGTAAAAATATCATCTAGGGGGCTGGAGAGCACTTGACTACCAGGTACAGGCCCTGGGTTTGATCACCAACACCATCCCCCCAAAAAAACATCTTGGCAGTATTGTGTACTTGGCAGTATTGTGTAATTTCAAAGAAAAAATAAATTTGCTACTATTCTTTAGACACCCCGCTTTGTATAAAACAAAGGTATGTTTATAAATGAATGAATTATAAAATAAGCTTATAGATTATTTGGGGCAATCAAGTAATTTTCAAATAAAATTAGGTTCTGAAAATTGCTTAGTTAGGAAACAAGTATATAAAGTATAATAAAATGCCACTTTTTGTGTTTTCTAAATTACTTTTAGGAATTTTCATGTTGGCTGATTGGCTGATTTACTTCATTTCTACAAGTGAAGCAAGGCAGACCCCTTTCTGCTTTTTTCCCCCCTCCTGTTTGATGCTTTCCTATTTGTACAGTGCATCCATCAACACAACCACAGCTGTTCCTCACAACTACATAGGGGAATGAGTATTATCATTCCATTTTTCCCTTTTTCTTTTATCATTTTTACATTTACTCACATGTGTATACATTGTTTGGGCCACTTCCCTACCCCCGCCACCTGCCGCTTCCAGGCAGAACCTGTTCCTCCCTCTTGTTGTTTCGTTGAAGATAAAACATAAGAGATAATGAGAAAGACATAGCATTTTGGTAGTTTGAGATAGAGACAGCTATACAGAGAGTTTCCTAGCATTGCTTCCATGCACGTGTGTATTGCAACCCACATTGGTTCATTTCTACCCTGTCTCTTCACTACTTCCTGGTCTCCTTCCCATAGTGGCCTCTGCCAGTTTAAGATTACTATATTCACTCCTCTACAGTGTGCACATCAACCACATTCAAGTTTTAGGTTTTCTTCCCTTTCCCTATTCTTCCTGTGCATGTTCTCCCCTTAGCATGTGACCCGTGCCAATAATATTACTGCATTTGTTTTAGGTCTCTAATCCGCATATGGGGGAGAACATGCGATTTTTGGGCTTCCATTTTATAGATAAGAAATCTACAACTCAGAAAACCCATGCGTCAGAGCCCAGGCTTGAACCATGAAATTTATTTTTAGTAACATTTTTATTTTGGAACACTTTTAGCCTTACAAAAAAGTTGCAATGATGGACTTCTCACATACCTTTTACCTGGCTTCTACTGTTAACATTACATCTTTTTAGTTAAATCCTTGCTTTTTGACCACAAATTCCAATGTTTTTGCGGTCCTTGGGTTTGAAGTCAAGACCTCATGCATGTGAGGCAGGCATTCTACCACTTGAGCCACACCCTCAAGCCTTTTTTGCTTTAGGTATTTTTTTGTATAGGGTCTCATGTTTATGCCCCAGCTAGCTTGGACCATGATCCTCCTATTTTAAACTTCCTGATGTTGCTGGGGTGACAGACATGCAAGGTGCCCACCATCACACCTAGCTTTTTAATTTTTTTCAGCACTGGAATTTGAACTCGGGATTTCATGCTTATCAGGGAGGTGCTCCACTGCTTCAGCCATGCCTCCAGCCCTTTTATCTTCTGGCTATTTTTGAGACGGGTTCTTGTTTTTGCCCAGACCGGCCTGGACTGGGATCCACCTGGTTTAAGCTTCCCGCCTTCACTGGGTTGACAGATATGTGACACACACCCAGCTTTTTTCCACTGAGTTGGGGTTTTGGGGTCTCGTAAACTTTTTTGCCCCAGTTGGCTGACCATGATCCTTCCCAATATAAGTCTCCCACATAGCTTAGGATGACAGGCACATGCCACCATACCTAGCTATTGATTGTGATGGGGTCGCATGAACTCACTGCCCAGCTGGCCTCAAACCACGATCCTCCTGATCTCAGACTCCCAAGTGTGTAGGATCACCAGCGTGAGCCACCTGCTCCCGGTTTGTAAATCTACCACTGGCACCTGATTTGTTTATTTTTGAGACAGTGTCTTACTGTGTATTTCAGACTGCCTTAAACTGGCAATTCTCTTGCTTCAACCTTGCAATTGCTGTGATTACAGCACAACACCTGGCTCAAAATCCCAGTTTTTATTTCAACTACTGATGTTGGAGCTTTAAGGTTTTTAGCGATCTAGAAACCAATCCCAATGTAACTTATTTATAGACAATTAAGTCATGGTTTTTCCTTTTCCTTTAGTGAATTTTTTTTTGCAGTACTGGGACTTGAACTCCGGGCCTTGCACTTGCTAGGCAGGTGCTCTACCACTTAAGCCACTCCACCAGTCTTTCTAAGTGAATTCTTAAACAGATTATGCATTGCATAATTTCCAAAATAACTAGTTTCAATCATTAACTAAATTATTAAAACTAACCATTTTTCCTTTTTTTTCTCCCACCAATTCTCATCATCAGTACTGGGAGCCTGGGAAATGGAATTTGTAGCCTCTCAGACCCACTTGTATATATCACAGGACAAGAAGGGCTGGTATGGGGCTGAGAGATACATAAGAGATAGGGTGAGATATGTGTTGGACTCACCTTTGTGTCTTCGGCAGTTAGCAGAGTTCCTGTTAAATTAATGAATCTGGAAATTGAGTAGACTCATTTTTTAATGAGTTCTTGGTACCTACTGTTGAAATCCAAAGTGTGTACACATTCCTGCTTTCAGAAATTCCAGTCTTTCCCTATTTTTAAATGTTTTGTGTTCTCGGCCATCCATTCAATAAAGTCAATGGTGTATGTGTTCAGACACTAAGGAATTAAAGATGAAGAAGACACTGTCTTTGCCTTTGGAAAGTCTGAGAACTACTGTCTTTTCTTACATACTAGGTTTTCATTTGCGGTGTACTTTTAAAGTAGACACAGAAGCTGATCCTGACCAAGTCACTATTTGTCTTCCAAATTTATTATTCCAGTAGCTCAAAAATGAGTCTGTGCTTCTATTCCTGCTACTCATTCTCAATATGTCAGTCAGAGCAACTATTTTAAAATCTTCTTAAAAATCTATGTTAGATCACACACATCATCCTGCCACTTAAAACCCTTCTATGGTTTTCATTTTCACCAAATTTAACTGTCCAAAACTTTTATGGAGGTGGAGAAGTGTGGCTTCACACGGCTTCTCTGAACATATCTCCTACCCCTCATCGCATCTCTCTCTTGCTCTGATCATACTGGCCTCCTTGCTGTTTCTTGACTACAACATCCACTCAAGCACTTGCTCTAGCTACTTACTCTTCCTAGAATAATTAACTTGACTAACTTCTTCACCTCAGGCTCTGCTCAGAGATAATTCTTTCAGTAAGGCCTACATCAGCTATCACATTTAGAACTCAATCTGTCCTCTACTCGTTACAATGCTGATCCTCTTCTGAGCCTGCTGGGTCAGAATTTAAAAATCTGGGGATTTAAATATCTACATCGGATATTTAAAAATACCATTTTATCATATTTTTGTAGTACTGGGGCTCAAACTCAGGGCTTCATGCTTGCAAAGCGGGCAATCTGCTGCTTGAGCCATGCTTCCAGTCCCATTTCATCATATTCTGGTATACTTTATTTTACTTATTTATTAACTCCAATGTTTGACTCCCATAGCTAGAAAGATAAGTTCCAGAAAGGCAGAGGTGTTTGTATATCTTACTCATTGATGAACCCTAAGTAATTAAAATATCTTCTGCTACCAGTAGGTACATAACAAATATTTGTTAGATAAGTGAAGTAATAGCAGAGTTGTGTGAACAGTTTCAATATTCCAGATAAATGGAGAATACATCTCTAGCAACTCTATCAACACATCACATATTACTTCCTTTTATCTTCTGGTTTTCTGGTGTAGTTGTAGTAGATTACATTATTGTCACAGCTATTACTACCCTCAATGATAAAAATGATTATGTTGCCAGGTATTTGGTATATGTTCCATCAGGTTCTGTGGAAATAAGATATATCCATACCACACTCAAAATTTTGTAAAAGGACATTAAAATTATACTTCTTAGTGTATGCAAAAAACTACATACACTACTTCTTAGGATTGCACACATATGCAAAAAACTACATATAAAAAAGGAAAAGAAGAAATGTTAAAAATTAGTATTCAGGATTGATGTTCCCTCAATTGGAAGAGGACAGGTAGCTGAGAAAGGGGTATCAAAAGGTTAGATACATAGATGATTTCCAAGGTTTAATCTTTTGTTTTGTGTGGTAGGTTGAAGACTGCTCTTTTTAAAAGTAGTTACTTAATTTACTAAGGTAACAATCAAAAGCATACCATTCGTGAACCAGTGTGATGTCAGTATGTCATGATCCATATCAAGGAGTATAGTTAATCTCATTCTGTGCAGTTGATATCCAAAGGAATTGCAGAAAAGGGAAAATGGGTTTTAGTTCAAGCTGGTATTTTGTGGAGCTGGTCTGTTGTGCATTAGGTAATCGATCTTCCCTGTGTTGGGAAATTCTTATTAAGGGCTATCCAACTTTTTAGGCCATCTATGGAGAAATAAGAAAAATGGAGCTAGAGACTTAGATCAAGAGGAAGCTCTGTTACCACATCTGCTTATTACTCTCAACCTAAGTCAATGTATTTTAAGTTTGTTTCAAATTAAAGGAAAGAAATGGGGCTGAAGCTTTGGTAGAGAAATCATAAAAGGGAGTAAGTGATGGGAGGCAAAGAGAGCTTTTGGGAAGCTCGAGCCTCAAGAGTCTTGTGGTACTATGGAGGAGGTATTTTTTTGTCCCTATGAGTAAACTTTACTGGGAAAGAGCCTCTTTTGGGAGATGTGAGAATACTCAAGACTATAGAACTTTTCATTTTTTAAAAGAACTACAACACATGGAGGAAATTTTTTTCTCCAGACCTAAACCAAACAGAAGATATTTCATATAGTAGCTTGTACCACATCTTAGCCAGATGGTGATTCAATTTTTAATGAGACCTGGTACTCAGGATACAGGTAACTTTTTGTAACACAGAAGATGTATTAGGAAAGAATTAAAGGAGTTTTAGGTGGCTAAGTTTAAATGAGGAAATCTGGTAATACCAATATGAACCATGACACTATAAAAAGATTGCCTGGCTTGATGGTACATGCCTGTTATCTCAGCTACTGGGGAGGCAGAGATCAGGAGGATCTTGGTTCAAGGATAACCTAGGCAAAAAGTTAGCAAGACCCCATGTCAACAAAAAATGCTGAGTGTGATGGTGTGCACCTGTCCTTCCAGTTATGTGGGGAGACATAAATAGGAGGATCAAGGTCTAGGTCAGCCTAAGGGAAAAAAACCATGAGACCCTATTTGAAAAATAACTAAAGCAAAAAGAGCTGGGAGTGTGGCTCAAGTGGTAGAGCACCCATCAGCAAGCAAGAAGCCCTAAATTCAACCCCAGTACTGTGTGTGTATGTGTGTGTGTGTGTGTGTATATATATATATATATATATATATATATATATATATATATATAAAAGCTGGGCACCTGGTGGTTCACACCTGTAATCCTAGCTATGTGGGTGGCTGAGATCAGGAGGATTGTAGTTTGAGGCCAGCTCATGCAAATAGTTAGGGAGACCACATCTGCAAAAAGATAACCAGAGCAAAAAGGACTGGCGGTGTGACTCAAGTGGTAGAGAGCCTGCTCTGGTAGTACAAAGCTCTGAGTTCAAATCCCAGTCCCATAAAAAAATTAGGATTTGTGTTCAAAAAGCCAAGGAATTAACTAACAATAGATATTAACATTAGAAGCTGGGAAAAAGTAGATGAGAAGCGCATCATTACAACTTTTTTATAAGTCTAAAATTATTCTAAAACAAAGTGGTTACTGAAAATAAAAATTTAGGAGTCAAGCCTGGGCTCTGATGTATGGGTTTTCTGAGTTTTAGATTCCTCAGCTATATAATGGATAATAATACTCCTTCTCCTGTGGAGTTTTTTTGAGGGACAGTTGTGGTTGAGTAAATGGACACATTCTGTAAATAGTAAAGCACCCAGCCAATGCTGGCTACTATTCCAAGGGAGAGTCAGGTAGGTGTCAGAAGGACACTGTAGGGTGGGAAGGTGTTTACTATGTAGGCATGGATCATTGGGAACACAAAAGACCCATTTATTATAAACATCAGCAGAACTCTATTCTCTTTAGGAATTGAGCACAAATACCAGATCTTTTAGGCATGCTAAAAAGATCAGTGCCATTTATTACATCACCAAGACAGTTTAGCAGCTATCTCAAAGAGGGTAAATATGAAGGGCAGGGGTAATCACAGGAAAGGGGCAAACAAACACAAGAGAAAACAGCAACTTCCAAAACCCAAACTTACCTCTTAGGAAGTCCCTGGGCCATAGGTCAACATTTGTTCCAAACACATTTAGTCTACACAGGGAGAAAGAGGCAGTGTCTCATCTTTCCCTACCCAACACAAATGCCCAATGATCTGGAAAACTTGCAGAAGCAAGAACTACACTTGATCAGCCACTGTGTGGATCTTCTGATGGCAGATGAGGTTGCAGTGGCAGTTAAAGCTTTTCCCACATTCAGAGCATTAGTGAGGTCGCTCCCCCGTGTGGCTTCTCTGATGCTCGACTAGAAAGGAACGCCGACTATAGCTCTTACCACACTGGCTACACTGATAGGGCTTTTCCCCCTTATGGATCCTCTGATGCTGGATAAGACCAGCACTCTGGCTGAAGGCTTTTCCACACTCTTTACAGTGGTACCATTTCTGTATATTGTGGATTCCTCGGTGAGGAAGGCTTTCCCACACTCATTACATTTATAGGGTCTTTCTCCAGTGTGAATTCTTTGATGCTGAATGAGACCTGAGCTCTGAGAAAAGCTTTTCCCACACTTGTTCCATCTGTGTTGCCCATCTTCTAATGGGTTTTCCCATCGTTGCTCTATATCACCCTTACATGCACTACTTTCTCCATGTTGAACTTCCTGATGTAATACTTCCAAGGTCTGATCATGAAACATTTTCCCATGTGGTTCCACTATCTTAGGACAGTCTTTCCTTAGCAACAATTCTCTGTCCTCAACATGGGTCATTTCATCTGAAACAAATAATCAAAAAAGATTAGGTAAGTGTCACTTGCTCCCAGAGCTCATGGGAGGATGATTGTGTCAACAGAAATATATAATAGAACAGGAGGTGAGAAGAGAATTTCCAGTATGAACATTCCTTCCCCTAGGTAACTAGGGAAGTTTTCTCTCTTTGACAAAATGTAGCTTAGTCTGACCAATGTGACTTGGCCTGGGGAGAGTTTTTTACTTTTACATGGAAATGGAAGGGTAATGACTATGGTGTTTTCTCTTAGAATTCTCTCCCACTTTTGAGGTAGGGGGCCTCAAAATGGCACCTTCCAATCAAAATTACTTTATGTATTCATTCATTCATTCATGGAACAAGTATTAAGCATCTACCATTCTAAGTGCTTCAGATTATGCTTCCTAACTTTCAAATCCACAACCATCCAAGGTGCATTTTCATAAGGCCTTTGCTCTATTATTTCTTCCTTCTTGGAAAGTTCTCATCTCACCTCAGATAAGAGAAAGGCTCACTCTTACTTCAAGTCTTTGTTCAACTCTCACCTTCTTAACAAGGCCTATCTTCATTCTGTTTAGAATAAAAATCTGCTTGCCTTTTCCATTGTACTTTTTTGGGGGTGATACTGGAATTTGAACTCAGAGCCACCAGCTTGTTAGGCAAGCACTCTACCATCAAACTATGCCTCCAGCCCTTTTTGCTTTAGTTATTTTTCAGATAGGTTCTCACAGTTTTTCTCCAGCCTGCCTGGACCATTATTCTCCTACTTATGCTTCCTGTATAACTGGGATGACAGGTATGTGCATCATATTCAACTTTTTTGCTAAAATCGGGGCTCTCACTAACTTTTTGCCTGGGCTGTCTTTGAACCTTGATCATCTTGATCTCTGCCTCCCAAGTAGCTGAGACAATAGGCGGGAGTTACTGCTCCTGGCAAAACTGTACCCTTATTAACCCTTATTTTATTTTTGCTTCCATAAAATATATCATCTTATTTTTTATGCTCATTATTGTCTCTCTCTTGCTACAGTCTAATTTTCATGACAACAAGATTATTTTATTCCTTAAGAATTGTGCCTGGCACGATTCTGCTCAAAAAAGTTTATTGAATGAATAATTGAAAAATGGAAAGAATTGAAAGTAATCCTACTATTATAGCCTCAACTGTCTACTCAGGCACTGGCACCTAATACCAAGGCTGTTCCATAAGACTAACTGGTCCACATTGGGTAGTATCTAGCCAACCCAATTACAGTCTCTCTGCTTGGAGCAGTTGAAGATAAGAACAGAGAGAAACAGATCCAAATAGTCTGAATACTAGGGAATAGCTGCTGTGGTATTCTTAGGCTATCTCAGGCTCCTCAGGTGTGAGTCTACCTTGTAACTCAGATAAAGCACAAGGAAAATGGCTTCTGACCTCCTCTTCTGACCAAAATATCTGGTTCTTTCTTCCACACTCGACTGTATAGTCCTGAATAGGTACCTCTTAGGACTCCTCTGTTGTTAGGCGATGGCTCTCCTCTCCCTTTTGGCTGAGGGATCACAACAGGTTTGGAAAGCAGAAATTTTTCTGTAGAGAAGAGATGGGCCACAGGTTGAATTAGTACTGCCCTTCTGACCAAACTTCACAATTACATCTGAAATGAACATGGGAACTAGGAAGAATATAAACGTAAGATATTCCCACTTTAAAAATTTTTTAAAAATTATTTTTGTGGTACTAGGGATTGAACTCGGAGTCTCATGCTTGGTAGGCAGGCACTCTATCACTTGAGTTACTCCACCAGCGAAAGGTGGTGAAAAAGGAATTAACACTTATCTGTTTTGTGGGACTGGGATTTGAACTCAAGACTTTGTACTTGCAAAGTAGGTTCTCTACCAGTTGAGCCATACTTCCGGTCCCACCTTTTAATAATAGCCATTTATACAACTTTCCATGTACATACTTATATGTATATGTGTGTGTGTGTGTGTGTGTGTGTGTGTGTATTAACAATGTCACTCACCACAAAACCCCATAATGTCATTATCTCACATCTTTAAAGAACTGGGGGCCAGAGGGAAGACAGATACATAGTGAGACTGACTCTACACATAGAAAAATATCTGGAAAATACACAGCAAATTGATGAGAGGTTACTCTTAAGTAGTAGGATTTGGATAAGTTTTTTCACTATATAAACATGCATTATTTGGATTCTTATAATTGGCATTAACTTAAAATGTGACTAAAATTGGTGGCATAGGTTAAAAAAAAGAAAAAGAATATTGATGATACAAAATAATTTTAAATATTTTAGCCAAATGCTTGGCTAAAAAGTTGAAGAACCAGAACATAAGTTAGGGCCTTTTAATTTTGAACACGTTATGCTGCTTTATAATACTGGCTTTCCTTTATTTGTAACAGAACACCTACATTGATATCCTATAGGGAGAACTCTCCAATCTGTAGCTGCCCTCTGGATATTCTCCTGTAGCCACAGTAGATGATTAATAAATATTTGTTGAACATATGAACATCTCAATGGATGGAATGGGTGGGCAGACTAATTTACTCAGATGTACTTCCTAGAAAAGACAGTTCTCACAGGTTTTTAAAGCAGTTCAGAAGATAAGAAAGGAAATGATGGCTAGAAAATGAAAAGCTCGTTTCATAGGGCAAAGAAAAAAACACATAAAGGAGCTGGTTGAAAACATGATCATAAAAGAAGACAATGAAACCAGAAGAAATTTTAATCTGGTGAAGTCATAGGACCCAAAGGAAGGTTTGTGGTATACATAGAATTTATTCAACATATATACTTTAAGCCATGCATTCCATGTAATAGAAATCTACAGTAACTGTATCATTTTTAGAGTAGATAAAATAAATAGGGTTAGAGACAGAAAGGCAAGGTTAGTTGTAGATTTGATACATATGGGCCAAAAATGAAAGTGATGACAGAAGAAACTTGCTGTTAACAAAACCCAGTAGAGGTTATATTATACGTGATATCTACTGGGCAATTACACAGAAGTTGAGCCAATTCCTGTAGTGACAGCTAGAATGGTAAGGCAGCTGACTCAGCCCCAAGTTTGGCCACTACCACCACAAAATTACATACAAGGAAATCACAGGTCTGATTCTATTGCATTCTCCATATAGCTGTGGCCTACTAAGCATGGTCTGAGCCTATGTCTGTCAAACTTGAAGTCCATTTTCTAAATCTATATTTCACAGTGATTCCCAAAAACCTTCATAATGAACCATGTGCCAGAAGTCCAGAGAGCTTCCAGGATGGTACTTGGGAAGAAGATGACAATGAAGGGGGAGGGGACAAAGATGAGCAAGCTAGACACTAGTAAGAAATGCTGCTATATGGTAATTAGTCTTTGGATTCTATATCCTCTATTCTGAATTGTTCATTTGTTTGCTTACTTGAAGGTGGGATACATTCAACAATCAGATGACTCTTACCTGTCTCTCCAATAGAATGGGACTCCAGGCTAGGGTCACATGTGAGCTTGGGCTCTGTAGGCTGGGACTGAAGACTCAGCAGTGAAGTCTGCTCTCCTAGACGCACAATCTCTTTAGAGAGGACTTGTCCATGTCTGTGAGTTACCATGTGGACACACAGAAACAATATCTGATTTCTGAAGAAGTGTCTGAAAATACACTTCCCAGAAAGAAGGAAGCAGGAAGGAGGGGTATTATTTTATTAACAAAGTCAAGGGGCTACAAAGCAAGTCTACAAGGGTAGTTGATGTCCCATATATACATTTTTCCCTAGAAAGTCTCCTTACTTCATCTTGTGGTTCATCGAGTTCTCTCTCCAGATCCTTCAGCAAAATCACATCCTCTTCTCCACTCTGGACAATGTTCCTTCACCCAGCCCTCAAGCTCCTTGGGCAGGATGGACAGGAACTGCTCCAGCACCAACAGATCCAAAATTTGCTCCTTTGTGCTCACATGTGGCCTCAACCACTGGTAGCAAAATTCCTGAAGTCGGGTAAGAGCCTCTCTTGGTCCAGGGGTTTCCTGGTAGCAGAGCTGCTGAAAGTGTCTTCGGAAGACTTCCCTTGCCAGAGGATTATTGCATTTCAGTCTCAATTCCTGCCTTTGGAGGTGACTTCCTGCCTTCACTTTCATTGTCAGAAGCTCTTCCCACACCTCAGGAACTTGAACATCCAAGTATAAAAACTCTTTTGAAGTATTTATCTTGACCTGAATAGCTCCCTGCAGCTGCACACACCCTTGGAGGCTCCTTCCTAAACAGTAAAACGAGTTGTTTATAGAAAAAAAAAATGGCAATGACTGATAATATAAGTAATTATCACAGACCCTAAGGATTTTCACTGAAAGTAAAGTGATTTGGTACCAAAGAATAGAAATAATAGAAAAATATAAGTCATAACACAAAGAACACAGACTCTTAAGTTATTCTGCCCTGGTTGGATTCTGGTTCTTATATTTACTAATTGTGTGCCCTTGTGCTAATTTCTTATGTTCGTTCAATCTCAGCTTCTCTGTATGAAAAAGAAATAGAATATCTTAGAGAATTCTGAAAGGGGGTTGGGGACACAGCTCAGGATAGAGTGCTTGCCTAGCATATGTGGGGCTCTGTGTTCAATGTTACAAAAAAAAAAAAAAAGAAAGGAAAAAAAACCTTGCCTAACAGAGTTCATGGAGGAAATAATCTATGAATTAAATACCAAACAGATCACTCATAAATTCTAGATAAAAAGTTTGAACTCAGCCAGATGTGGTGTACAATCCTATAATTCCAGCACTTGGGAGGCTGAGACAGGAGGACTGCAAGTTCCAGGCCAGCCGGGGCTACACAGCAAGACTCTAAAAAAAAAAAAAAAAGTTTGAATTAATTTCATAAAAATAAAACTGGAAAATGAATGGAAATATTGTTCCTGTTCTTGACTGAATGAACAAACTAGTATTTATCCAAATATCTCTTGATATTTCAATGTTCAACACAACCGTTTAAGGTTTGTATTATTTGAATTAAATTTACAGGAAGTGTAAGGTGGATTCCAAGTCCTGTGAGCTATCCACACGGCCCCGCTGCTTCAGATAAGGCCATACTGAATCCTCACCATTGCCCCACACCCCAGGATAGCCGCGGGTCGGTCCAGGGGCGCCCGGACACCCCGGGCAGAGACCGTCGCTCCCTCTCCTGCTCCAGCCGCCCCCGGGCGGAGGCTCACTCGCCACGCTCCTTTTACAGCCGCAGCCTCCCCAACCCCGGCTCCCGGGGCGACTCACGAGACCCGTCACCAGCGCGGAGGGAGAAGGAGCGGGGCCACAGCGCTGGGCTTACCCGTGCGCGGCGGGCACAATGGGCCCGCGGGGTCGGTGCCGGCCGGCCAGTCCTCGCGGGCGGACAGCGCCCAGGCACTTCCGGGCAGGTCTAGGATGCCGCGTCTCGGTGTCCCGCCTCCTGCGCGCCCACCTGGGCGTCAACCCCCGCCCTCCTGGCGTCCAGTTCTTTTCCAGCCCGGAATCCCATAATCAGAATTTTGTGCGTGTGTGTGCCGCCTAGAGGTCTTAAAACATTGATGAAGCATAGATCACTATTCAAAATGCTGACTTAAAAAATATGTAAAAATTAGTACATTATTTATGCTTTAAAAAATTCTCAGACAATGACAAATTAATAAAGATTGGTGAAATAAGTGGTGAACCTTATCTGTCCCTTTTTGATCCCGCTGCGTCCCCGTTAGCTCAGGATTTGTGTCATTTTGATCTCTCTCACACACAATCGCATTAAGCTATTTTACGTTTAGCTTTGACTCCCCACTTACTTAAACGTTTTCACTTCATGTACTGTATCTTAGACGTCGATCATGTCAGTCTAACTCATTTTATGCTCCACATTGTCCACAGAACACATGCACAATCTATTCCGGCCCGTTTTCTTTCTTTCCTCCCTCCCTCCCTCCCTGTCCTCCCTCCCTCCCTCCCTGTCCTCCCTCCCTCCTTGTCCTCCCTCCCTCCCTTCTTTCCTCCCCTGCTTTACTATAAAAATTATCTGGATCTTTAGAACTAATACTAAATCTATCAAAACCAATAAATAAGCATTGATTGGCACAAAAGAGCACAATTACAGGTACTGTTAGTCATTCATCATTTTATTATAACAACCAGAATGGTGGCATTGCATACATGTTTTGTTTTTTTTAATCCCATTTATTTTATTACAACAGGAAGAAAGTATCTTGTGTGTTAATGAAAATTTCACGATGTGTTTTAACTCCAAAACTGTAGCTCTGCAAATTTACTTAATTGTTTTCCTCACCGAAAGAGTTGTTTTCCTAGCCTTGTGAGGGCATTAAATAAGCACAAGCTTCATACTTCTATTTCTTCCAAATATCCAATTAAGTATGTAATCATCAACATTAATGTAGAACACGAGCATGAAGAAAATGTGCTCAAAATCCTCATCATGGTCTCCCAATATACCATGTTCATTTGCAAAGCCCTGATTACAAACTTTCCTAACAAACCATATAATAGGAGTAAATGCTCAACTTCTTTTGGACTTGAATAGACTATTTAAGTACATTATTCTCTTCCATTTTGGACATTTGCGACAAGTAAACACAACTTTATCTCTATACGGAACTTCTCTTAACGTCATGAAACTTCTCCCAGTGTCTTACCCGTGGTTGGTTAGACTCTCTAATTGGTTTATATGTGCTTATTAAGTAGATCAACTACAGGACTCAGACAGGTTTCATCCTAGAGTTAAGTGGGTGGCAGACTGGAATTTACTGTAAACAGCTCTGAGAGACCCCACCTGTCTCTTTGGGGGTAAGCGGTACTATGATGGATGGTCCTGGCTCAGAAGAGATTATTTTTAACTTATATTTGAAAACCCTTACTGAAATATTTGAAAATGCCACACCAGTTTAGAGAGAAGCGCTGACTACAAAACTAATTAATGATATTTAGGATTACCTAAATCTAGAAGTAGGCATATTGGGATACTGACTCTTGTGGATTATGTCATAAACTAAAAAAGAAAAAGAGAATGGAGGAAGGAAGGGAAGAGAAATGAAAGAGGGAGAGAGGGAGGGAGGGAAGAAGGAAGAAAGGAAGGATGGAAGATGGGTGCCAAATGTCCAAATATGTGTCTTCACTAACCTCATGTGTTTGAGGATGTCAGGACTTCAGTAAGCAAATGAGCAAGACAGCCTGCTCTATGGATATCACAGCACCTCTTTCTTCAGCTATCTCCACATATTCACTTAAGGAAATTTTGAGCAGAGTGACCATGGCTGTCACGATGCCTTTTTAAAAAACAAAGCCCCAAACCAAACGAAACAAATTTTTCCTTTGCAAAGGTGAATCTAGTCACCACCAGTGTTGAGGGTCCAATTTGTAAGAGCTGCAACCCATCTTAACACCTAGATGTGGTATGATGTCAGTGGGAAAAGCTGGCTACCTGGTGCAAGTTGATGACTTGATCTCTTTCCACAATTGAAAGAAAACATGTTTCTTCAAAAGAAGTAGACACCTTTTAGATTTTCATGCCTACCATGCTCCATCAGTCAGAACTTGGTGAAAACCCTACTCACACTAGCCCCAACTTAGTTGGGAATTAAAATGAAATGGCTTGTTTATCCCAAACTCTACTTACTACTGGGTTCTTGTGATCCTTCTTTTCTGTCACTTAATGATACCTTGGGCAAATTCTATAGCTTTCTGACAGTTTTAACTATTAAAAGGCCCATTAATAAATAAAACAGTACTTTAAATTTATTTTTATTTAAATATTTATTATCTATGAATGAATTATATAGTCTCTCAAAATACAAAAGTTATAAAACAGCATACATTGAAAACTATTCCTCTAATAGTTTTAACTTTATTTGGGTATGATAATGATATAATTCTATAGAAAAATGCTCATATTTTTTGAACATGGGTATTGAAATATTAAAGTGTGGTATGTCATGATGTCTATGATGTGGTTTGAAATAGGAAGGGAGGGAGAGAGGGCAGCAGGGATTTTGAGAGGGAGAGAGAGAGAGAACAATATGGCAAAATTACATAATAAATCTAGATGACCAGTACATGTGTACATGTGTGTTCATTATATGTTATTTATTAACCTATTATACATAAATCTTTAGGAGCAGATGAATTTAAGAATTCAGGTTTAAAAATAATTAGAATGATAATATGCATATTATATTATCTAGCATATTATGTAACACCCGCTAGGGGTTCAGAGCACACAGTTGGGTTCAGAGCCCTGCACCTGTTGTAAGAGTGCACATTGCAAAACAGGTGTAGGAGGAATGATTATTGAATTGATCATTGTTCTGTTCTTTCTGCCTTGGACTCTACTGATTCCTAAATTCCAGCCTTTCTGACTCAGAGAACGTTTTAAGCTTAAAAGAACCTGGGAGTTCATCCAGCAAAGACTGGAAGTCCATCAGTGCCCCCAACTGCTCTTTGCTCTGACAGCCTATTCCTCGTGCCACCTTAGGGTCCTGATTTGAGGTTCCTGGATGGTTGCCACTAAATCCCCCAACCCAGGAATTTTGAGATCCTTAAAAGGCTGACCCCCAACTTGGGTGACTGAGATTGGGAGGATGGGGGTTCCAGGTCAGCTGGGTTAAAAAAAAAGTCTATGAGATCCCATTCGTCTTAACAGAAAAAAGCTGGATGTGGTAGTGTGAACCCATCATCCCAGCTACAGTCAGAAGCATAAAACAAGAGGATCCCTGTCCAAGACAGCCTGACATAAAGCTAGACCCTACCTCCAAAATAACAAGAGCAAAAAGGACTGGAGGTGTGGCTCACACAGTGGAGAGGTTGCCTTGCAAGCATGAAGTCCTAAATTCAATCTCCAGTGCCAGAAGGAGAAAAAGGCTGATCCCAAGTGATAAAAAGCCTCTGGGACAAAGATAGGCAGCCACAACTACTGCCCCACGTGCATTTTAGCACTCACCCTTTCCTCATCTCCCCCCCCAGCCAAAAGGACAATGAATCTTGGAGTTGGGGACTCTACTTTATTCTTCCTACCATCATCACCGACAGCTCAGGGTGGTGGGTGGTCAGCACCAAATATAAATATGACTACTTAGTTCCATATAAGTGACCATTAATTATCTTATACAGATTTTTTTTATTTTTTAATTAATTTAATTTATTTTTTATTGTTCTGGGTGGGGGTACATTGTGGCATTTACAAAAGTTCTGTATCAAATATATCATACTTGAATTCATCCCCTCCAATGTTCTCCTTTATTCCCCCCATACAGATTTTTTTAATGACAAAAGTTCATATGATTCTCTGCCTGACATGCCTTTCAGATATTGCAAAAGCAAATACAGTAATAACTGAGTCCTTGCACCCCCAATTCTTTTTTTTTTTAAAATCTGTGCCAACTGTGTATTCTTCCAAGCTACTCAAAAATGAGTATATAATTGGACATGTGCTCTAAAATTATAATTACAAAACCAGAAACTGCTGTACATTATTGTTCTGAAGGATACTTTTTATCATTTTCTATTTTATTCTTTTTGATGGTTGTAATTAGTACAATTAAGCTGATGCACTATGATTTGTTTAAGCAGTCTTATAATAACCTTCTATTTCAAATACAGCTAACTAAACATTCTTTAATGTTCATATATACACCATGATGAACTTAGGCACTTATGCAAATATTTCTGTAGAATGGAATTTTAGTGATGAGATTAATTTTTAAAAATCAGGTTTGTTGGACTGCAGGTGTGGCTCAAGCAGTGCCTATATAGTAAGCTTGAAGCCCTGAGTTTAAACCCAGAACCACTCCCCCGCAAAAAAACTCAGGTTTATTGAAGTTTATGCACAGAGTGAAATTTATATTTCATATGTATAGTTGGATGAATTTTGGTAAACATATACAGTCATGTAGAGACCACTAAAACAAGACATATTGTTTGTATATAGCACCTCCCAGGATCCCCTTTGCTCCTTTTTTGCAAAACTTTTCTCTAATTCCAGTTCCTGACAATCAATAACAGAATTTTTGCTCTAATTTTTTATTGTCATATTATTGCTGTAACTTGGGGCACATTGTGACATTTACCAAAATTCTTACGATATATCATAGCTGAATTCACTCCCTCCATCATTCTCCCTTATCTCCCCTCCTCCCATTCCTGGAATAGTTTCAACAGGTCTCATTTTTCCATTGTCCATTCATGTGAATATACATATATACATATGTATGTGATATTTCCACTACATTTCTTGTACACCCTTTAGTTATATCCTCTCCCCTCCCACTGGTACCAACCACCAGACAGAACCTGTTTTTACCTTCCTGCTCTCTGTTTTTGAAGAAAGAATTTTTATTTGTTTAAGATAGCTATACTTTAATTTTTGCCTTTTCTGGGATGGAATCATACAATATGAGCATTTGCGTCTGGTTTCTAGTTTCTTTCACTTGG